CAAGACTGAGCATGTAATGGTTACGATGGTAACGTTTGGGCATCGAGATTGATAGGAGGACAGCGTTGAAGCTTGCATGATTGCGTCAACGGCGAAATTCGGTGCTCGGAAATGCAATTGGGATGAAATTTGACGTTTTATGCCAGGTTTGGGCCATCGGGTGAGAGCTCTTGATAAAGTAAACAAAACTCTGTCAACATCTTTTAGGTAGCTAATAAGCTTCAGGTCGATTGAACTGGTTTCAAACTTTGTCTTAAGATAAGAGTGGGCTTTAGAGTAATGTTAGTCATAGGATATGACACCATTTCTCTGCATGTAGGGCGATCCCTCCCTATATAAAAAAAATGAGAAGAGAAGGGGCCTCCAGACATGCAGGGACAAGCTCACAGGGCTCGACTTAGGGCATACCCGACTTCGAAGCCCTGAACATAACTTTACTTTCATCCTAGGATTTTAAGGCAGGGGTGGTTCGGTATCTTCCCAGCTTGTTGCCCTTTATTACGGCAATGAACTGATACTGTCTGGTGAGAGTGCTGTCTGGTGAGCTGCTTGAAGCCGATAACATCCCCTTAATCTTGGGTGTATGTACTGCCAGAAGTATCCAGAAAGCTCATGAGCTGTCTTTCTTTTTCGTGAGCTTAAGCTTGATGAAAATACATTCCATGCCACTGACAGGGTGTTAGAAGAACCTAGCGGACGAGCTTGTAACCCTGGTGGAACTTTTCTAGCAAATTCTACGATGTATTTGGGAGTGCGAACAGCAATGCGCTCATGAGTCCTACAGGAAAGCTGAAGCAATAACAGAAACCTCTTCGAACTCCTTCTGTGACTTTCTATCCAGCCTGATGCGGAGCTTCCGAAAATGCTACCAAAATTAGAATAGCCTCCCGACGTGTGGGGAGCGTGGAAAGTTCGCGATCTCATGCGCGCTAGGTAGCTTCCGAGAGAGCCTCACTTTGAAATGCTTGGCGTGTACCAAAGCTGTTCGCAGATTTGGGTCCCTGGAGTGGTGCAACGCAAGCCCTTGTGATGTGTCTCCATCCGGGACGCGGGCGACAAAGAACAACCTGTGTTTGTGAGGGGTTGCTGCCTGCTCTAGAGTAGCTCAGGGGATGGAGCTGGCTTTGGGTGTTGAATTGCGCGGAAGCGCGTAGAAGTGCACAGAAAGTTGCGTGGTGCTAGCAGGGTTCCAACTGATAAGATTAGATCGAAAAGCTTAGCAGAATTCCAGACTCGCGAGCTTTGATGAACAAAGAACGGAAAACTCAAAGCTCCAGATCCGAATTGTGCGTGTCCGATGGATCTGGAGTGTTCTGGAGGGTACTCAGCCTTAAGAAAGATACAATCCTTTCCAATTTGGGTGTACGGAAGGGGTTGTTTGGTTTTGCATGCTCCAAACAGAAGCGGACAAGGGCGTTTCCATCGTGTTGTTCTGCGTAGAAACCGCTAGAAGTTACGGTGCCGCATTCGCCTTGGCATAGCCTCACCACCGTCCTCTAAAATGTCCCCTCCTCCCCCGCTGTTCTCCTCTCCATCTCACAACTCATCAAGCAATTCCAACTCTTTTTAAAGAGCGCTCATACCCAAGCTCGCACATTAATTTCTTCAGATACCCTTTCCATTAGATACTACTACACACACAGTGAGTACTCTACCCCGCCATTGCAGATCTCCAATCCCACAATCCGTTGTTTTCCAACGACTATGCACCCTGGCAGCTATATCTAACGGATTCATTGTAGAGCAAAGATGTCTGAGACTTTCGAGTTCCAGGCTGAGATCTCCCAGCTTCTCTCCCTCATTATCAACACCGTCTACTCTAACAAGGAGATCTTCTTGAGAGAGTTGATCTCTAACGCCTCCGATGCCCTCGACAAGATCCGCTACCTCTCTCTCTCGGATCCTTCCGTTCTCGACAGCGAGAAGGACTTGAAGATCACCATTACCCCTAACCTCGAAGAGAAGACCCTTACTCTGTATGTTATCACTCGACCCCGCAGTCATGTGAATGGTGAGCAGTGACTAATTCTCAGTACAGTTCCGACACCGGTATTGGTTTCACCAAGTCCGACCTTGTCAACAACTTGGGAACCATCGCTCGTTCCGGAACCAAGCAGTTCATGGAGGCCCTCTCCGCCGGTGCCGATATCTCCATGATCGGACAGTTCGGAGTTGGTTTCTACTCTGCTTACCTTGTCGCCGACAAGGTCCAGGTCTACACCAAGAACAACGATGACGAGCAGTACCTTTGGGAGTCCTCCGCCGGAGGATCTTTCACCATTAAGTTGGATGAGGAGTCTCCCCGCATTGGACGCGGAACCCGCATTGTTCTTCACATCAAGGACGGTCTCCAGGAGTACCTCCAGGAGTCCAAGATCAAGGAGATTGTCAAGAAGCACTCCGAGTTCATCTCTTACCCCATCTTCCTTCACGTCACCAAGGAGGTTGAGACTGAGGTCCCTGATGAGGATGAGACCGTTGAGGATGCTGACGACAAGCAGCCCAAGATTGAGGAGGTTCGTACCATACTATCCTTCTGCTAAATTTCATATGACTAACCATGCACTAGATTGATGAGGACGACGAGAAGAAGGAGAAGAAGACCAAGAAGGTTAAGCAGATTAAGGAGGAGGAGGAGGAGCTCAACAAGACCAAGCCCATCTGGACTCGCAACCCCTCTGACATCACCACTGAGGAGTACGCCTCTTTCTACAAGTCCCTCTCCAACGACTGGGAGGACCACCTTGCCGTCAAGCACTTCTCCGTTGAGGGACAGCTCGAGTTCAAGGCCATCCTTTTCGTTCCCAAGCGCGCCCCCTTCGACCTCTTCGAGACCAAGCGCACCAAGAACAACATCAAGCTCTACGTCCGCCGTGTCTTCATCACTGATGACTGCACTGACATCATCCCTGAGTGGCTCGGATTCGTTAAGGGAGTTGTTGACTCTGAGGACCTTCCCCTTAACTTGTCCCGTGAGACTCTTCAGCAGAACAAGATCATGAAGGTTATCCGCAAGAACATTGTCAAGAAGACCCTTGAGATGTTCAACGAGATCGCCGAGGACCGTGAGCAGTTCGACAAGTTCTACTCCGCTTTCTCCAAGAACTTGAAGCTCGGAATCCACGAGGACTCCCAGAACCGCCCCGCTCTTGCCAAGCTCCTCCGCTTCAACTCCACCAAGTCCGGAGACGAGCTCACCTCCCTCTCTGACTACGTCACCCGCATGCCCGAGCACCAGAAGCAGATGTACTACATCACCGGAGAGTCCCTCAAGGCTGTTGCCAAGTCCCCCTTCCTTGATGCCCTCAAGGCCAAGGACTTCGAGGTCCTCTTCTTGGTTGACCCCATTGACGAGTACGCTTTCACCCAGCTCAAGGAGTTCGACGGCAAGAAGCTTGTCGACATCACCAAGGACTTCGACATTGAGGAGACCGAGGATGAGAAGAAGCAGCGTGAGGCTGAGGAGAAGGAGTTCGAGGCCCTCGCCAAGACCCTCAAGGAGGTTCTCGGTGACAAGGTCGAGAAGGTCGTTGTCTCCCACAAGCTCGTTGACGCCCCTGCTGCCATCCGTACTGGACAGTTCGGTTGGTCCGCCAACATGGAGCGTATCATGAAGTCCCAGGCTCTTCGTGACACCTCCATGTCTTCCTACATGGCCTCCAAGAAGACCTTCGAGATCTCTCCTAAGTCTTCCATCATCAAGGCTCTTCGCGGAAAGGCCGCTGAGGAGGGTGCCTCCAAGGCTGTCTCTGACATCTGCCACCTTCTCTACGAGACTGCGCTTTTGTCTTCCGGATTCACCCTTGAGGACCCCAACTCCTTCGCCAAGCGCATCAACTCCCTTGTTGCCCTTGGACTCGACGTCACCGAGGAGGAGAAGGTTGAGGAGGCTGCTGCTCCCACCAACGCCCCCGCTGCTGCCGCTGAGTCTTCCATGGAGGAGGTCGACTAAACGTATCGCATTATTTAATTATTCATCTTGTAGTTTAGTACTTTCCTTCTGGTTTCTTTCTTGGCTGGGGTTTTGTTTTTGTTTCATTTGTTAGCAAAAGTTGCATGGGTCTGTTTGGGTCGGAATGAATGATGAGTTCTTTTTGTTTACGATAGTCAAATATCTCTTAGGAATAAGATTTTTTTCTTGGTCGATGCATGTAATTGTTAGATCAATTTCATTTTCTTCAAACGTATACCTGAGTAGTTCCATTTCGCGATGTGATATAAAACTTCAACTTGTGTTCTCGAAATGTGAAAACATCAACGTGTGCGAAGCGTGTAGATGACCCTGAAAATATTCCGAGTTTACTTCTGTCTGCACAGCTAACGCATAACCTGCCTTCATCTTTCGCCCTCCTCCCCATCTCAGCAACTTCACCAACTTGCCTGACAACACCCAACTTAGCCTTTGGCGTGATGGGACCCGCTTCGATGTAACGGCTACGTTACTCACCACCCCCCACCACCCCACCCCTTCACAGGTGCTGGTGCTGGCTGTGGGCGGAGGGTGATGACGAGGGAAAAGGAAAGAATAGAGAGGGGGAAGGATGCAGAGATATTGGGTATACTGTGTTATTTGGCTGGGGGTTATGGAATAGATATATAGAAATTGGTTTTGTGGGTGGATAGTAGGGGTAATGGCGGTGGGAAGCGTGGGAAGCGTGGGAAGCGTGGGTGGGTGGGTGATTGGGTGTATGATTGATGGGTGGTGATTATTTAAGATGAAAAGATAACAAGGACACAGAGGGGAGATTTATGGGACAGAGAAAAGAAGTTTATTAGCATAGCATAGCATAGCATAGCATAGCATAGCATAGCATAGCATAGCATAGCATAGCATAGCATAGCATAGCATAGCATAGCATAGCATAGCATAGCATAGCATACCCAGCATACCAGCACCATCGCCCATCTATTAAGACTCAAGGCGATGGAACATGAGTGGTTAAAGTGTGTAGAACACCACTAAAATCATACCTACATATAACCTACACAAAACATATCAAGCGCTAATAGCTCAGTTGGGAGAGCGTCAGACTGAAGTTCATATTCGGTCCATTCCATTAATCCGGGGTAATCTGAAGGTCACCCGTTCAATCCGGGTTTGGCGCATTACTTTTTTTTAATCTTTTTTTTCTTCGTGTTTAGTTTTCTTTTGTAAACTTCTCGTGTAGAACTGATAGTTGGAGTCGTTATCTAGATTCTGGGTTTGTTTTGTTCTTTGTGTGTTCTATATCTTTGTGTAGTGTATGCGTTCTCTAGCCTGGAATTTTAGGAGTGATAAGTTGCTATGATAGGAAGCGAAATGGGATACTATAGAACAACACAAGCGAAAGCAATAACACGAGCATTCCTGAAGATCACGAAAACACGCCAAGATTCGATAAAAGTAATACGCATGTTTTATTTGATTACTTAATCAGTAGCTAAGCTCTAGAACATTGCTGAACCCGATATCCTGCTCTGAAAGTACTTACAAGTTAAAACTAGTAAGTAAAGTAAGTAAGTAACAAACATGTAACATGACCATAGTATCTGCTGTATACGCATGAAAAAAACATCATAGTAGTAGTCAGTAAGTAAGTAATCGCATAGTAAAAACATGATCGTAACGGCTAAGAATATATAACCGCGTAAGTAAACTTGTAGTAAAGCCTAATTGTAACACCTAAGAATATGTAATCTCGTAAGTAAAACCTCGTCATAACACCTAAGAGTATATCTCCGTAAGAAAAATCCATAATATGACGCAGTATGAACCCAGTAAAAAACCTAAGAATATGACGCTTTATGAATGTAAGTAGTTGTAAGTATGGTCGATGTAAACCTAAGAATATGAACTAAGTAATAGATATTGTGAACGCAGATAGTCGAGAAGCTCCAATAAAAGCTTGAGTATAACGTTGTATGACCGTAGTAAAATCGTAAAAATAACTGTAAAACCTAATGACAAAGCAATGTGAACGCTGTCTCCGATTCCGATTGATGCACACCGTAATGACTGTAGGTAAAAGACTCCGACAATCGATATGAATCATTTCAAAGTATTGGTAACCAAAAGCCGGATAACCTTTGTCCGACGTTACAAGATCCCGGAAATTATTACCGAATGCGAGCTGAAACCTGTCATGATGTAGCATGAATCGAAAAAAGACGCCATAATATGTAGACAACGAAAAGCAATCCGAATTACTGAAACCGTAATTGTAGAACGTAAAAAAGAAACGCTGTTCAAGATTATGAGTACCGAGGCCGAAAGATAAATGCCGATGTATGAAAGGTTGAACTAGATATCAAAGGAAAGTTAGAAAAGGAAAGTTAGAAAAGAAATGCGTAAAGAAGGCATATTCTAGAAAAGGATGGGGCCACATACCAATTCCACCAGTTTCACCATCTCTCAGATTTCTGCTTGCATTTTGCCTTCCGTGGAATGCTGTTAGTACGCTGGACCGCATACTGGGCCATTTACTTTTGCATATCGTGTGGTTCCGCTTCTTCTATCTTATTCATCTCCTCCGCCTGTTGTGCCTGCTTGATGTGATATCTTCGACGATACTGCTCGAGGTTCTCATGCTGTAATCCCCTCATGTCCAAACAAACTTCATGGTGTACACCATCATTCCAGGCTTCAAGCATACAATCCCGATTGCAAAACCATGCGACTTTGCAGGAGCACACTTCCAGGCGTCGGTAGTAGTGGCGGTTAATCCCCGTTTCCGGAATATAGCGAGGATTGGGAGCCAACGCCTCCCATTTCTCGCAGTTGGAACATTTCTTGCAAATGTTACTCAGAAACAGCATAACCTTATACTGTTGAAACCTTTCTTTGCCAACCTCCACGCCAGTCTTGGTAATAATATGAGTCTTGACGAGATATGAAAGAATCTCGGCAACTTTAGGAGGGGGATTCAACTCGGCCAGGAAGAAAACGTAATCCTCATTTACCTTGCAGTAGACTTTCTCACTGCCGGGAGCGGAGATTGTCAGAAAAATCTGATCCTTCGGGTTGGGCCGACGCTGCGCATGTATGATATGGATTGCTGGATGTTGTGGTATCATCCCTTTGTCAGTACTATCGTCGAACTGAAGCTCGAGCCCTAGGGTGCAAGCTACTGGGTTGACGAGTGGGAATTTCGGAGACGGGGGAATTCCAATTGGAAGCCAGGAAACCGTTGCGGAGAAGAAAGTCAACGGTGGATCCTTCTCGGGTTGCTCTAGAGCAATTTCACACTCATCCGTAAGAGGTCTGGGTTGGTGTTCGTATAAAGTCAGAGAGTTGTTTTCCTTGATATCTTCCTTGGTGTCACACTCTGTAGAATCCTCGGGGCGATCATGGAGGCTATCCTCTGAATCATCTTTATGTGTATTCTCAAGTTCTTCGTAGATTGGTGGGGGTCGATCTGTGGAGAACTGTTGGTACGGAGTATACCGGGACTGTGCTAGGGGCCTCTGCTGTGGTAAAGTCGGGGATGAGGCAGAATTTCCAAGCTCAATACGAACTCTCTGACGGGCACCGTAATAACCGTCAGTGTAATTCTCGTCGGAGGCCGGGCTATCAGTTTGTGTGATTAGCACAACATCATATGAGCCAAGGTTGATTTTGATTTCAAGCATTGTGAGACGAGTAAAATTCCGAGTACAGGTATGTAAGGGTAGGATGGAGAAAGAAGGAAAAGGTGGAGTACCTTCGGGGAAGAGGTGCAGATATTTTCAGGCCGCCCTTTTTGTCACGAGTCGGTTTCTTCGTTAGAGCAGCCACGTGCTCCAACTTTTCCAAGGCCACATCTGAAAGGCGACTGTCATTAGGGTTAGCATACCCGCAACATTTTTTTTTTTTTTTTTGCAGGGGTCGATAATCATACCGACAAAGTATCTCAACCTTCTGCAGCGGACTTAGGGTCTTGACCGGGGAGCCGACGCTCTGAGCTCCAGTTGATTCCCTGGTCGACTGGGCAGTCGGTACCGGAGGGGAAGCACTACGTTCCCTGCCCAAACTTCTCAGGGATGCCGCATCTGACGAGCTCATGTCCGAAGAATCCAGGATGTGATCCTCGCTGGAGGACGAGCCCTCTGAGTCCCACGGAATTTCACCTCGCCCCAACGCCTTGATGCGGCGCCTCTCCCTAACCTCATTCCTCCTCTTCCTTTCTTCTTGAATGGCGGTTAATGCACTCTCGTGCCTCAGATCCAACGTTTGGATTGCCGATTCACGTTTTGTGAATCCAAACTCGCTAACCATGTGTCCAGGGTGGACATTCTCACCCGCAACAAAAGACGCCGCAGTGCTTTTGGCTTTGGGAAGCCTGTCCTTCCACGACTTTGAATTGTAAGTGGCGCGCCAATCCCTCTCTCCCCGACCCCCAGCCATGCATCTTCCCGAACATCGACTACCGGATTCCAATCTATCATCCCGCGTGAAGGGATTTTCCAAGGAGGAGGAACTTTCAGACTCGACGGCGGGCTTTTTCCCTTTCGAAATATTCGTTTCCGATTCCTCTTCATCGAGTTTTACCTCGAATCGGAGCCTTGATTTGGGACGACCGTTTGGAATTTCCGCCGACATGCGGCTTGACGAAGGGCCTCCGGATAGAGGGGTGTATCTCCTAGCTGCTGGAATCTCCATTCTGAATTCTTTCTGTGGGTTTTTTTTTTCGGGTTGGCGACTGGGGCCTGGGCGACAGCCTGCAAACTGCGTCGAACTGCGGTTGCTTGACCAGTGGTGATCCGGACCGGCTGGAGCCTTGCCCTTTCCTTTATCTTTTCGTTTACGCCTGAATAGGAATCGCCTTTTCTTCGCCGACTGTTTTTCTTGTAGGTACTCCTCGAATTTGGACATAATATATTCCTCGGCTGTGATTGTAGGTGGTTTTTCGCCCGGGGGTTGATTTCCATCCAAATCGACAAACACCCCTTCAAGGATTCCAGCTTTCTTTGGTGTGATCCTGCAAGCCATTTTGAGATGCTGGGTGGTTCCAAGAGAAGTGAAGAGGAGAAATAACCCGAGAGTAAGGTTAGGAATAGCGGGAAGGCGTGGCTAGAACCGGGAGTGGGAGCTTGATCAAGAAGTCGAAGTTTGGTGATTGATTGGCTGTGTTTGATATATTCGATTGAGATATATGCGTGTGTGCGAGTATAGAAAGTATGCAGTGCTGGTCAATGTGAAAGAGGTGTGAAATGTTTGCAAAGGTTTTGGTGGGGTACAAGCGGTTCATGAATGGAAGATGAGTTCATAGCAGATTGACACAACGTGCAACAGGACGCTAATGACGCTAATGGCGCTAACTGCACCTGGATTTGTGCGATTCCTCTTTAATGATAGGGTTGTATTTTGAGGGTTAACCGGGGATGTGTTGATTCGGTGAGTTATAGATATGTGGGTCGCCGATATGGATACGACGCACATTCATGATGTCAATAAACAGACGGCGTGAACACCGCGTCAAGACAGAAGGGATTGATAAAAGCCCAGATGGAGTTGTTGTAAATGTTATGAAGGAGTGGACGTTGGCAATTTCATATAATTAATTCAGCTATATGAATATCTGTGTAATCGAACAATGACCATGTAGATACCATGAATTCTATGCAAAGAAAGAATCTCTTTATCGAAAGAACCGCCTACGGAGGGACTGCTTCGATACATACCGTTGTCTATACAAGATATGGTCTGATAATCAGTCCGTCAGGCTATCATAATAACTTGGTTATTGAAATGCAATCAAACTGAATCGGTATTGAGAGCAATGTTTTCACAAGAAATAAACCAAACTCGGGCCGAAACCCACGCACAGACTTCAGACGTTTCCATAGATTGAGTATTCCCCAACCCCAAATATTCAAATTCATTATCGAATCTTAATGAATCAATGAGAGATAACTTGAATAAGTCTTTATGACGGCATTTCATAACAAATTTCGAGTGTCACCAGCCTCTTCAAGCTATATCTCGTGGCTTCGTTGGCACTTGTAAGTCCTCCATCTTCCTCCACCCACCATTCGAATCCGCAACACTCTGACCTGTGAAGCTCGGTGGATAAGCATTTGACGCTATCGGCCTATTCGGCGGCCAAATTGTGCGTCACATGCGTCTGCTCTTACAATCTATCAGACAA